GAAATGTGAAGAGCCAAAAGGAAACTCCAAAATGACGCCTTCCGCTGAAAGTCTGCAGCTAGGGATAGAGCTGGAGGAGAAGCCAGGACCTCCTGGTCCCGCGGGAAACTGAGTTCAAGGGGAGTCTGGGAAGGAGACCGAAGTCAGGCTTCCAGTGGCACACCGTGAATGTGGCCCGATTGTCTCTTAGCAAGGAAACAATCTCCTAAACTGGAGGCTGGTCCTTTTAGACACCTAGAAGAAACACCAGGTGTCATCTCTACTGCCCCCTTTGGAGAGGAGGGCCCGTCGGACTCGGGATTCCGACGCTGGTTACTCTTTTCACCCCGTTGGTATTTGATTTTTCGAATTCTAAAACTGCCCGCAGCGCAAGTCGCGCGGTGTCAGATGAGCGGCCACTGACTACATCCCTAGAAGATCCGGGATCCCACTCTGGCTCATTGAATACCCTTTATGCTCTACGGGGAGCACAAGCGGAGAGGGAGAAGGGGACTGGGTAGAAATGCAGCCCAGGTGGGTTCGGTAATCTGGGCCTCATTTCCTTCCCTGCCAAGGACACCGAGTATATAGGGTTTCTAAGTCCTCCACTTTCCTCAGTGGTCTAGTAAACCTTTCATCCTGTTTACCCATTTTCCAAGTAGGCATCACTGCGAGAACCTTATTTCAGTGCGAGACGAATTAAGATGTACTTTCTGGGTTGTGAGTCTTCCGTTACATTTTTGATTGTGTAAATCCTGAGGGACGAACTCTTGGTTGTTGTTCTCTAATACAGTGGGATTTCTTGTCATCGAGGGAAGTGGCCAAACATCTGATTTCTGATGTTGATTTCCACAGTTTGGCTGGGATCACTCGCTGCACAAGCGGAAAAGACTACCCCCAGTGAAAAGATCCTTGGTGTACTACCTGAAGAACCGGGAGGTCAGGCTGCAGAGTGAAACCAACTACTCTCGGGTGTTACATGGTTACGCAGCACAACAACTTCCCAGTCTCCTGAAGGAGAGAGAATTTCACCTTGGGACCCTTAATAAAGTGTTTGCTTCTCAGTGGTTGAATCATAGGCAAGTGGTGTGTGGCACAAAATGCAATACGGTAAGTGGCAGGAAGACGCTCTCTCTCTTAGGTCTGACATGCATGGCTTCACCTGCTCTAGAGCCTTTCTTATCTGTGCATCGCCCAAATTTGTTTACATTTTCTTTTGTGTAAGCAGATTTGGAATTTATTAAGAGATTTTCAGTAGAAGCGTTAGGACAGAGAGGTGCTCAAGGAAAGAACAAACCCAGTTGTGGGTCTGGGGCTCTTCAGGAAGAAGTGCCCCCATCAGTTTCTTTACTCTCCATTCCTTCTAGTTAATGGCCTTGTCCCCTCTTTTTCTGCTCTTTTTCTCACTTCTGCATCTTTTGATGGTGTCAAATGAACGCATGTCTTTAGTCCCTGGCTCTGTATATGCTTCTGCTTCTGGTGTTTTAGCCTCATCTTTTAAGCAAGAGACCTCAAAGCAAGGACAGAAATTGATGCTCAGAATCGCCATTCAGGATACATGATAGTGGCAACTTAATTGCTGTGTGTCAGCCATTGACATATGTAGAAGTGTTTGGAATTTGGCTGAAAGTAAAAATAAGGCAAATAACTTTTTTTCCGTGTAATAGAATCCAAACATAGCACTTGGATGGCTAGGGAGTAGAATTGCTTAAGTTCCAGGCAGGACTGTATACTGAGAACCTGTCTCAGAAGAAACAAAAAGGAAAAATGAGTAGTTTCCTATAAGAAAGACAAGCCGGGTGGTGGTGAACACCTTTAATCCCACCGCTTGAGAGGCAGAGGCGGATCTCAGTGAGTTGAAAGCCAACTTGGTCTACAAATCAAGTTCCAGGACAGCCAAGACTGTCCTGTTACATAGAAAAACCCTGTCTCAAAAAAAAAAAAAAAAAAAGAAGAAGAAGAAAAAGAAAGAAAAGAAAAAGAAGAACTGGCTGTGGTGGGGCACACCTTTAATCTTAGCACTTGGGAAGCAGAGACAAAAGTGGATCTCTTTGAGTTCAAAGCTAGCCTGATCTATAGAGTTCCAGGACAGCCACGGCTTCATGAAGAAACCCAGACCCAGTCTTGAAAAACAAGATAGAAAAGAAAAAGGAAAAAAAAAAAAAAAGATAAGAAATGGGTACCTGGTGGTGTATTTTAGGGTATGAGCGTTTGTGAAGAAGAGGACATGAGAGTAGGGAACAGTTTTAAAGAGAGTAACAGTTATAAATAATTGGAAGGGAAATGTTATCAGTAAGCTATATAGCCAATATGGTTACAGGCAGGAATAAAAATCAAAAGGGTGGATGTGGTGCTTGTTTAACAATTGTGTATACTAAAATTGGGATGCTGCAGAGAAGGTTAGCATGTCCCCTGGACAAGGTTTTCACACTAATCTCTGGTGTTTGGGGTGATTGGGATAGAAGGATACAAGTGGCAAAACATTACAGAAATGGTAGATGCTAGAAGAGACAGGACCCCTCCCTCCATTTTTAACTCACCTTGTGTGAGTAGACAGGGAATGTTATATGGTGACTCTGGACCAAAACATACTTGGGGTTACTTAAAAGAAACATTACTCTACATCAAGAAAATCTTGGGCCAGTGACATTGTTTAATAGAAAGAGCTTGCCACCCAAGCCTGGCAACCTGAATTTGATTCCCAGAACCCACATAAAGGGTGGAAGAAGAGAACTGATTCCTTAAAGTTGGTTTTTCTGACTGCCACATGCCTGCCATGGCACACTTTCTGAGAGACACACCACACTCAGCAACACAAACACTAATAATAAATTTTAAAGAGAGAGAAAAAAAAAAAGTTGGGTGCTCAGTGGGCAAAAGCTACCAAGCCTGCCAAACTGAGTTTGACCCTCAAAACCCATGTGATGAGGCTGGAGAGATGTCTCAGGGGTTAAGAACACTGACTGCTCTTCCAGAAGATCTGGATTCAATTCCCAGCACCTACATGGCAGTTCACACCTGTCTGTCACTCCAATTTCAGGGGACCAACACCCATGGCAAAAACACCAATGCACATAAAAATAGGAACCTGTGTTATGGAAAGAGAACAAACTACCATAGGCTGAATTGCACATGCTTGCTGTGGCATGAGAACCCACTGCCAAATATAAATAATTTTTTTAAAAAAGACAAAAACTATTTAAGTACCTTAAGTGTCTTTATAAAGACCATAGGCAAAACTTTAATTTTGAGGAAGGAAATAATACTATGGTGGTTGGAACCAAATTTTCACTTCTGTTAATGGCTGTTTATTTTACACACAACACTTTCAAAACTATGTTCTGGTAGCAAGGCTGCACAAAACTTCCTTTTTTTGATTACAGTTGTGTCCCAGTGATTTAGGAAACTGCCATTGTTGACACTTCTTTGACCTAGTCACAATATTTTGAAGGTAAGCACACATAGGTTTGATTCCCATCCCCACATGTGGCTTTGTAACTCTAGATCCAGGAGACCTGATGTCCTTTTCTGGCCAATGAGGGCACCAAGCACATGTGTGTTGTTTAGACATACTTGCAGACAAAACGCCCATACATAAGTTTTGTTTTGTTTTAAATTTACTCTTAATATCTACTTCTGTTTTCCTAATTTAAAAATCTATTTTAGCCAGGCAGTGATGGCTCAGGCCTTTAATCCCAGCTCTCAGGAGGCATAGCAGGCAGATCTCTGTGAGTTCCAGGACAGCCAGAATTACACAAAGAAACCCTGTCTCTTAAAAAACCAAAACCAGGGGCTGGAGAGATGGCTCCGAGGTTGAGAGCACTGACTGCTGTTTCAGAGGTCCCCAGTTCAATTCCCAGCAACCACATGGTGGCTCACAACTATAATGAAATCTGGTGCCCTCTTCCGGCCTGCAGGTATACATGCAGGCAGAACATGTAAAAACAAAAACAAAAACAAAAACAAAAAAACTTAAAAAAAATAACTTACTTTCATTTTTAAAAATTTCATGTGAGAGCCGGGCATTTGTGGCATATGCCTTTAATCCCAGCACTTGGGAGGCAGAGACAGGAGGATCTCTGTGAGTTTGAGGCCAGCCTGGTCTACAGAGTGAGTTCCAGCACAGCCTCCAAAACAATACAGAGAAACCCTGTTTTTGGGGGGAAATTTTTATGTGTGTTAGTGGGTCTACATTTTCCACAATGAGCATGTGGAGGTCAGTTCATAGGTCATGGTTCTCTTCTACCACATGGGCTCCAGGGATGGAACTCAGGTCCTCAGCCTACTGAGCTCAGTACTAACTTCATCTGTCCTTTGCTGGTTCTCTTGACTTCATCTATTTGTCCTTGCTGTCCTGGAACTCAGTGTAGACCAGGCTACCCTTGACCTCACAGACATCTGTCTGCTTCTGCCTCCCCAATCCTGGGATCACAGTTCTGGGCCCCTAACTTAGACATAATACCTATTTCTGTCTTCCCATATCTTCATGACTTAAAATGCTTGGGAATAGTGTAGGCTGTCTTCTTTTGTTGTTGTGTTTTGAGACAGGGTCTCATGTAGGCCAGGTTGGCATCTTCTATTTTACTATATAGCCAAGGATGTCTTTGAAAATCCCAATCCTGTCTGATAATTGCTGGGATGATAGACAGGTACTACCACACTTGGCTGTCTTCTTTATTTTTTTCCCCTTTTTATGTGTATGGGTACTTTGCCTGTATGTATGTATATATGTGTGCCTTGTGTGCAGAGTGTCCGAGGAGGCCAGAAGTGGGTATTGGATTCCCTGAAACTGTAGTTACAGATGTTTGTTAGCCATCTCGTGGGTGCTGGGAATCAAACCCTGGGTCCTGTGGAAGAGCAGCCAGTGCTCCAGAACCAGCTGGTTTTTCTTTTTGTTGTTGTTGGTATTTTTTTTGGGGGGGGTGGAGGACAGGGTTTCTCTGTAGCACTGGGTGTCCTGAAACTTTGTAGACCAGGCTGGCCTCGAACTCAGAGAGATCTGCCTGTCTCTGCCTCCTGAATGCTGGCATTAAAGATGTATACCACCATGTCAGGCTCTCTTTTCTTTTTATAGGTTATTTTTCTCTCTACTCAGCTTCTAGAACCAAAGCAGGGCACCAAGAACAGTTTTTCCCCCTTGGCTTTGTGACATTGACAAATACTTCTATTTCCTTTGGTGTTTAGTTCTGTTGGGGGTAGGGTGGGTTGCAACCTGGTCTTAGGTAGCCAAATCCTGCCTTGAGCTCCTGAACTTCTTGCCTCTACCTCCCAGCTGCCCTTGGCTTTGTTTTTGTAAATAGTAATAGCATTGTCTGGTCTGCTAGTCCTCTGGAAACAGGCTGGCTGAGACCCTAGCACTTGAGGCTGAGGCACATGGGTCTCCTGAGGAGTTCATTATCTGATGTGCCAGTTCAAGGTTGCAAACTATCTGGGAGGCTGAGGCAGGTGGATCTCTTGAGTTCCAGGCCAGCCAGAGCTACATAGTGAAACCCTGTTTCAAAGAAAATAAAAAGAAAACTATGATCTGTGAGGGAGATTTTGATTCCAGAATGACCAGGCTTCAGGTGTCTAAAGAGAGTTGGAATGTGCTAGACTGGAAGCCTGACCATCTAAGATTTTACTTTACAGGGTTTGTGAGACATGGGGACGAAATAATTAGGGTACTGCTCCAGGGAGAGAAAAGTCCAGGAGGAATTGCTATGGATTTTACTA